ATCGCCTCTCTGATCCTCTAGTTTATTTAGCTTACACAACTGAAATGCCAGAAATTCAGTTTATGTTAGCTGCTAGATGTAAAAAGTCTTTATGTATATTGTCATAAATTGGAGCATAGTAGTCTTTGGCTGACCATGCTTCAAATCTTGATTTAGCTTTCAAACGTCTGTAAAGTCGCTGAAATTAAAAGGATAATCAATATGGCATAAGGCGAGTTATACAAAAAAATGCCTGTAAGCTGATAATTGTTATATATGTAATCTGGGGATATAGAAAAAATACCTTTGTGGTAATGTGTAGGAGGTGTTCAGGGTTGGATGGAAGGGTAGAAATGTTAATTGTTCTTACCAAGTCTGCTTGATTGCACTCGCTGCCTGTTGAAAATTGCTTTTGCTAAAGATCATATTTTGCATAAATAAGTTAAATGGGGATGACCCATTCCACTGCTGACCCTCTTGATGGCCAGTGCCCAGTCAAAAGGGACTTGGTTATCTTTCCATAATTATCCCACCAGCTCAACATCTCCCTTTCTCTCAGTAAATTAATTATACAAACATAAGAATATTTTATGTTGTTTAAACTTCCATATTTTTAGACAATGTCGTATTTGTGAAAGAGAGCCCTATAAGGGTTTTTTAAAAATACTTTTATATATATATATATATATATATATATATATATATATATATATATATATATATATATATTTTTTTTTTTTTTTTTCAGATGGTATTAAAGAAAAAGACAAGAATTCATTAGGTTCCATATTACAGCAAGTAGCTCACTTTTCCCCAAGGGAAAATACATATACTTTAGCTAAACATCTATATGATAGTGTGAAACCAGACTGGCCATTTTATACAGAAACAGACAAGCAGCTATTGAAAAGGTAAAAAATCTGGAAAAAAAAACAGATACAGTGACTTATGTACTTATCTTGCAGTGCAATTGTAGTAAATTGAGATGATATTCAATCAGTATTTGAAGATTTTGTTATATTTAATTCTTTATCAATGGTTTTTAGTGTAATTGATATATGTTATTAGATTCTGTGCAACTATACACAAGCAGACAACTTGCATTTACAGAAAACATTTACAAAAAAAAAAAAAATTAATGCTTTTGGATAATTAAATTGCATAAATTAATTGGTTTTTGTTGCTATATTTCAGGCGTAGGCCGCATGAAAGCAATGGCACTCCCACAAGATCTCCATCTGTATCCCCAACTAGTACTGCTCATAGTCCACCCTCTTCACAGGTTAGTCAACACAGGTCATTTTTTGTTGTCTTGGCTGCTTGGTAACACAGGCCACCTTGTCTTGGATGCTTGGTAACACAGGCCACCTTGTCTTGGTTGCTTGGTAACATGGGCCACCTTGTCTCAGTTGCTTGGTAACACAATGCACCTTGTCTGGGTTGCTTGGTAACAGGTCACCCTGAGGCAACTTTATATAAAAATGGTAATTTCTTTTTACTTTCAGAAAAGAGGCAGTAGTAGCAGCATCAGTGAGTTAGACCAGCCTAGTAAAAAACAGAGAATAGCCCATTCTTCCAGCAAGGCTACTGTCAATGGTCATTATAGTCCAGACAAATATGAAGTGACCACAACTACTCCAGATTCCAGCCATATTAAGACAGATGAAGGTAGGAAGTCAAATGACAGACATGGTACAAAAAACAATCGCAGTATACAAGTAGGCGGTTAAAAGAAATTGCCATTTGTAATATCTTAACACCTATTTTTATATCTCAATAAAAAATTTACCACATAACATAAATAATAATTGCAGTGAATTGGCAGTCTTTCAACACTGCAGTAGAAATCTGCAGTTATTCTATTGTTTGATAATACATGATGCTCTGTATTTAGTGTCATTCAGTTAACTTCTCTCTTATTTTGAACTACCAGTTGGCTGTCTTCAGGTTACCGTTATAACTCCATAAAACTTGGCCTAAGTAGTTGCATTTTTTTGTGGAGAGAGGCACTTGTGAGGTTAAACAAGAGTTTACATAAAAAATACATTAACTCTGATTTGGTTTCTTATGTTGTGACATACCTTTGTTGTTTTTTGATGCAGGCTTTGCCAGGAAAAAAAGCACCAGCTCTTACTGCACACTTATTTAATGGATTTTGTCTAGGAACTTTTCCATTAAAATGTCAAAACAAGGAGGGCTTTTATTTTTTTCTGTGTTTAGATTGGTTCTTAACAAAATTCAGATATGGTTCACAAAATGTAAACAGTTTTGCTATTTGAAAACAGAAATATTATCAAAAGTGGTTGCTATTTTGATGTATAACAGTTTTTTTTTCTTCTTTTAAAGAGAACAAAGGAAGCAGTCGGGCCTTAGCTTCATCCACCTCAGACACCCCAGACTACATCCTGTAAGCAGACAAGATTTACTGTGAAAGCATATTCTTTTCCTGATTTTTTCCATATTTTAAGTTTTATGAGTGCAGTTTAGTTATGTCTTTTCTCCCCCTTGTCAGCTATCTAAGTTTTCAACTTTTATTTATGAAAAATTTTAATTCAAGTTCACAACTAGAAGCTATATGGATAGAATAGATCATTCACAAGTTTGTCTTGCATACAAGGGCATTACAAGGACATTACATTTAAAGATAGTTGAAAATTGTGATAATGAATGTGCATTTAAGACAGTTGAAACTGTAGTTGCTGATACTTTTATACTTTCCAGTCAGTACACCATGATCAACTCCCAAGAGCAGCGGAGGAGGTACAAGGAGGACTTCAACCAACAGTACGACCACTACAGGGGGATACATGCTAGTGTGGAGAAAGTTTCCAAGAAGTTCCGAGAGCTCCAAGAACAGCTCTACAAGTCCAAACCTGGCACAGAGGAGTATGAGGTGAATGTTTCAACATATCCTAACCTCTAAGATGATTTGACACAGGAAATGAGTGAATGTTCATGTAAAGGGGCATCACATGGACATTTAAATAAGAACGCTGAGAAGTTGATATAGGATATTTATAATAGTTTTGCCAAGTTTTTGTACATTTCCAAATAGCAATCTATTTGGAGTTCATAAAGAATCATCTTCAGTACACAATGTTGGTGTTACAAATTTGAAGAGTTATTTGGAAAGTGTATTAACATAAAAATGCTATATGTCAGAGGGGATTACCTTTCCAAATTTATCCTTTTGGCAAGTGGTTGAACTCCTGATATCTTCATTATCATATAATGCTTTTATCACTGGACTGTAGGTCCCAAATCAAGGGGAGGGAGATACTTTGACAAGTGTTTCTAAAAAATGCTGTTTAAACCAGGCACAGAAGACTGTGATAAACATTGATTTGATTCTGAAAAACATTAATTTCGAGGAGATGGCAAACTATTATTAATTTTTTAAATGTTATATGAATATATGAGCACAGCAAATGGTCAGTGCAAGGTATTCTCCCTGCTTACATAAGAACTTAGTTGCTCTTGTCTGACCTTGAATTTGTCATTTTTATTGTTGATTAAGTTGCATCAATGTTTCTGGTGATACTCTAATTTGATAATGCTGCTTTTCATGTTGTCTTATATTGTACTATGAACTGTTATTCTAATTGGTTGTCCATTAATGTTAGATAGATAGTTACAGATGCATTAGATGGTTTATTTATTCAGTATTTTATTATTTACATTTCATAATGTTTGCCATTTAAAATTGAATTTTCATTTAAAAAATTTTCCTTAAAACTGGATCCTGATTTTATTTTTGCAGAAAATCCGTGACAAAATCTACAGAGAATACAAGGGCATGAAGAATGACTCAAAATACATGGAAGAGAAGAAGGAAGTTGACTACTTGCACACTAAACTAGGACACATTAAACGATTAATACAGGAATATGACCAGTCCCTTCATGAAGACTCCTAGCTCTGGTCCTTTTTCTCAACACCTGACCAATAGATGGCACTGTATGTCAGGGTCTTGTCATGACATATCTAATATGACCAACAATGGATACAATCTCTGCTGAAAGAAAACTTCTTGATCCTTACATTTTTTGCCTAAACCCCTGCAAAGGAGATATTAAGTATGAATTGAAATCACCCCAAAAAGAACCCTCCATTACACCACATTGCTATAGCTGCTAAAGTGAGTTAAATCTGTGATATACACTTCTTGTAGAGATAAAGTTATGATATAAGTCGTAAAATCACCCATACAGGTTATATTCGTAACAGATATTTCCAGGACATTATTTTGAGGTGCTTTGTATATGTAACATTAACTTTGTGCATTGGCTCATAGAGCTCAAGATTACATGTATTTTTTTTTTTTATTATTGCACATTCTATGATTGCTCTTGTTCATTGGGAGGCAGAAGATATCACGAATGGGTTTCATATATCAAATGTTGGAATTTTAGTACATTTCTTAAACTTCAGATACTAACTTACAGGTTAAATTCATCTGATCAGGTAGCATAATCTTTTTTACAGCAATGTGAAGTCTCTATTTACAAACTGACTGTGAAGATGCTCATAATTTTCGTTTCATTTTTATGTGTAATGATGGGTAGTGTATCTGTCTGCAACTTTGTGAACAAGCAGCCCACTATAAATCACCAGGGATGAAATGTAGCCCCATTTTATTTCAGTATTAATATGCAAAAAAAACTTAACTTGTAAATGTATTTCCATACACATTAAATAAGCAAAAGGTTAGAACAAATGACAGATTATGGAGTTCTATTTAAAAGTTAAATTCAATCTTCGGTTGAAGTTTGTGTTATTATGTTCATTTAATGATTGGTTCTTTTTTCTGTTTAATATGTGTATGCAGTTTAACACCATAAAAGTATTTATTTCTTTTATTGTTGCAGCTTTTTGTTGGAATGGCTGTGGACCAAGTTGTCTTGCTTTTTTTTGTCTCTCTCACTGTGTGAGAAGTGCTCTTTTTGTTGTAACTGCCACAATCAAAGAAGTAAAATTATGAGTAAAAAAAAATAATTAAACACATGCCAAATGTGAATTATTTTGTGATCATTATCACAATACTGATATTATTTTTTCCTATGAGCAGGCTTTGCTCTTCTTTTGGGAATATTGTCCAAATGATGTAAACAGATAGTTTGAATTGAAAATTGACTTGCTTGGAATGATAACCCTCTTTATTGTTGCACAGAAATCTTATCCATCATTGTTTGAACTGCTGCACTGTGTACAAAGACACTTAGGTTTGGATCATGAAATTCTACATTCTTCTAGGCATGGAACAAAATGTTAAAGAACGAGTATGACGTATATTTCATATCTTTCATAAGCAGTTTTGACAAAATCAGTGAGTTGATTTTACCCAGTTTGTACACATTGTAGCAGGTATTTCAGTATTATGTGGAGAAACATTGTTTGGAGAGGTCTCTGTTCAAAACTGACATCAAATGATTGGTCATTTGCCCCATCTTTGGTTTTGCTTGCTTACTTTTAATTATTTTTTTTTCACTTTAAAAACAAAAAAATTACATATATATATGTATACTCATGTTCATCAGTTCTTCTAAGAATAAGAGGTTCTTAGAAGTGTGAAGACCTGGAAAGTAGAATCGCAAGTGACTAAGCACCCATTTCAGGAGGAATTTCCCTTTAAGTGTGGTGTAATTTTCACTTTGTTGAAAATAATTTTAGATGTAAGAACTGTCCTAACATATGCAGAAAGTTATCAATTCATGTATGTAAATACAACAAATCTGTAACATATTCTAGGAATGCTTTTTGTGTAGCAGGTTTGAACCCCACTTGGAAAATGTACCATACACAAAATCTAAATGGCTTTATATGTCAAGCTAATTTTAGGACTAAATTATCACATTTGTCTTTATTATGATAGATATAATGTGGGGGCAAAATAGAGAGATGTTAAGGCATTAGTCCTAAAATGTGTTGTATTTTTGCAGTTGTAGATTTATTCTGTGATTTTGACAGGCTGTTCTTATAGACATTTCGAGCAAGTATCTTCAGAAACACATTGCTGAATGTCAAGGGCATTTACTGCCATTACTCTAGCACTGCATCAAATTGCAACATTTGTATCTTTTCATGGGTACCAAAAAAAAACTTTGAAAAACTGCTCATTCTTGATTTAAGAAATGGTGCATTTCCATTTTGTTCTTGCCAGGTGCTCTCCAGAAGGACAGTGATTTCCACAAACAACGGTACTGGATATTTAGTTAAGAAATTTAAGAATTTACTTGATAATCTTGACAAAGTTATTGTAAATACCTTAACATATTAAGTAAAAAACTTCTTTGGGGAGGGGGATGTTCAAGTGCAACAGGGGAAGGTATTTTAGACATGAAAAATGGTTGTACACAAAAATCATGTGTTTTTATTTACATCACTAGATCTAAAAGTCTCCATATGATTGAGCGAGTTGAGAAATCTATGTGAATTGCCTGACAGTATCATAGAACTAGCCATTTGCACCAATTCTATATTGACTTCACAATTTACATATTTCAGAAGGCACTCATTACTTTAAGCATTTTGAATATTTAAATTTTGTGCAGCCTAAGCCATAAATTGTAGAGTGAAATCAAAATTTGCAGAATTATTTGTGTATTTATTTCATTTTTAATTAGCTATATTTTACATGGCTATATTCTGTAAACAAATTTACAGTTATTCTGAATATTGCAATTCTTAGCATTCTAGTTGGAAAATAATTTTTAAATCCTTATTATATTTTGTACTAGATAAACATTTGAACCAAAAAGCAGAAAATATCCCTTTTGGTATGAGTTACCAAAGTGGAATTCACTAACAGACAAATTTCCTGCCAGATAATGCCCATGCCTAATGGCAGCAGTAGTGAAAAAGAAGAACAAATTAAGTTTTCAAAAGGGAAAAGGCATTCTCTTGCTAAGACTATTCTTAGTGTAATACTTTATGTGAAGTACCAGTGATAGATGATCCTATGGAGAGCACCAGCATAGTGTAAAATGCATTTATATGGAAGAGAAACTGTGCAATCTATTTGACTCTGGCCCTCAATTTTGTTGTATTTTTCTGTACAACATGGTTGTGTTGCAGGACCGATATTCCCAATAATGTGAGCAATAAACAAAAGCTTACTTTGCAAATGAATATTATGAGTTGCAATTTTATTTTTTTAACAGTATTTGTTCATTTAAAATGTTTGATCAAATTATGGATTAAACTTTTATTTGTGGCATCTTTGTCCTTCCCTCAGGTATATTCCCATTTCCAATTTTTTCAGGGGCAGGGGGCGTGTTATCAACTGAATTATTCAGTTATATCTGCAATAATTGTACCAACAATTTGGTGTGAACACAATGTTAAAAATGAGTCTGGTAAAGTGAGTCCTTAAATAAAAAGGATTACCATTTATATTTATAACCAGAAATTATACATGAAATGGTGAACTGAGACAGTTCAAGGGAAACAATTGCTTTATAGTAATAATCATATAGTAGAAAAATAAACACTACAAAATATCTTACAAACTCCTGCTACAAAATGCAAATTTACAGGCATTAGAATCTTCTACATTGCATGACACAGTTTAAAATTTCGGAAATGAAATACTGGCAACTCGAATGGGTGTTTGAATTTTAAGAGAGTTAATGTTTCTAAACCTTAAAACAGAAGACTGCTGTTTTTCACCAGTTTGTTCTTAACTACTGTTATATCATCATTTGTGGTCATTTAAGTAGTATACTAGCAGAGAGAATGTTACATACAACTGGAACAAGATTAGCACCAGTATGAAAGCATACGTTATTCAAGCTGTGCTTTGACTGCACCGTCCAAAAATGACACTTCAAAGTACTAAAACACTTTGGTTTAAATTCATTTAGGCTAAATTGGGTATTAGATATATTGGATTATAATTCAGTTTTCCATTTGCTTAGTACACTGCAGTATGGTTCCCTTCATTTCAATATTCCCAGCTGTGTTTGTAAATCTTTTAAAAAATTGAGACAGCTAAATATGGTAATGCTGTTAACTATCAACTTAACTACATATACTATAAACAAATATTTAAGACTACATGCATTTTCTAGAAGACTATTTGCAAAATCACACCCTTATGTGATATGACAGTAATATTAATTGGCGGATTCCCTCTATTTGATAGTGTGTTCGTGTGTGCATTTCTGTGTATACTGACCACAAATCCTTCACAAAAAGTACAATACTTAGAGTAGGTTTATGAATGATTCTATATAACTATATTCTTGGTATTCAGACAAAGTAACACATAACATTTACTTCTAAGCAGACTACCCGGGAGCCTCTAAAAGGGACTTTTCAAAAATTGTCACAGAGAACCAGTTTTAGATGAAACAAGATACATGTACTTAGTATACACATGGCTGCCAATTAGAACTTCTACTCCCGTTGCTCTAATGAAAATAAAATGTCCATATGTCCATATGTGGACAGGTGCATTAAGATTCAGGAGGAGGTTCAGATTGATTGTCCTTTTTTGTTATACATACAGTATATTAGTGCATGTAATTACCAAGCAAGACCTGATGGATGGATGGATGCATATTGTTAACTCCTACAAAATTACTGAAACATAATACAGATGGTGTTTTAGTCATCAAGCTATTTATGTGATGGAAATAACCAGTAAGACCCAAATGTGAGAAGACATTTGCTTTAGTCATGTGTATTAGTTATTTGTTTTAGTCCTTTGTTTGCTCCTATATGAATAGTTTTTTTATGCCATCTAGAGGCAAAAAACAGGATAAATGCCTCTACATAGAATCCATGATATTTGTTTGATGGCTCCTTGCCACTACAAAACTCCTCTGTTGCAATCTATTTCTGATTCCTCTACTGCAATCTAGTTTGATTATGTTTAAGAATATATTTTGTCTGTTTATCTCATGCCTAAACATAATCAAACTAGATTATGTTTATCTCATGCCTAAACATAATCTAGTTTGATTATGTTTAGGCATGAGATAAACAGACAAAATATATTCTTGGTGCTGATACATGTACTTATAAAAAGATTTATATCTGCAAAATAAGCTTGGAGCTCCTCGCTGTTTTTTTTTTCTTGTTTGCCTTTTCCTCTTGGTGTCAGGTCAACACATGCAGGGATGAGGAAGAGGATGAACTGGAGGATGGATTACTAAGAAAAACTGCATAATCATGGAGTGCCTGAAATAAAATTTGTACAGTTTTTTGTTTTGAAATATTTCCAATGATGTGACGCAGTGTGAAAAACCCACAACATTTCAGGTAGATCCTACAAACTAAAGTGGTCATTAATTAACTAATGTTAAATTGGCAAAAAAAATGAAAGTTTGCAATTTCTTTAACCAATGCAAATATTATTGAGCCTTAGGAGGTATTAAACCTACTAGCAAAAAGTAAATATTTGATAGAAAAAACACAAGCTGTCTTATGCCCGATAGATGTACATCAATTTAGCAACAGTAAGCTAACATTATTCTTCAAAACTGTTTATTTTTCCTTTTTAAATTTTACCTTATAAATGAAAACGTATTGTTCTTTGGTCTGGACGGAGCCTCCCCTGTCACACCTCAGTCTGTACACACAGTTCAGAATATCTACTGAATGACAGTCTTCATATGCTTGCATGCATATGTCTATGGCAAGAAACGTGCCTGTGCGACCAGTGCCAGGACTGAAATATCAAAAGGAATTATTATTATCAATAATATCTTGTTGATGTCGTAACAAAAATTGGAGGTACTTAGTAATATGAAAGATTGAATATAAATATTAAATGTATTGCATAGAGTGTGAAGTTAGGAATATATGAATGTTAGCCTTGTTCAGTATTAAGTTAACAACATGTCCAGTGTTTATTCTAGACGGTTTGACAAATTTCCTGCAAAAAATGGAAACAAGAAATCAGTTAATAAAGAGAAAGTTAAACTCTAGTATGATTTACATCTTCTTTACCTTATTGAAAATGGAAAGAAATGCTTTAAACTTAAACCAGTACTTCTCTTCTGGATTTACTAGTAAATAATATAATTCCACCCTTACCATAACCACCACTGAAATTCTCCTTTCTTCATTGCTTATATGTAAAAAATTATGCAAAATGGAGAAAAACTCCCATCTTCTGCCATAAAATGTATATTATACAGCATGTACTTATCATTTATTGACCTTAAGACCAAATGTTCTCCTGTCACCAATTATGCAAAGAACTTACTGAGGAAAGAGATAAATTCTTACCTGCAGTGGACTATGGCAGGCCCTCTGCTTTCTTCCATGTGTTTCCTGGCCTCAAGAATAAATGTCTGCACAGACAGCGTGGACTCTGGGGTACCATGGATTGGCCAGGCTGTATACCACATGTGGATCACTTCACGGCACAGGTTCCTCTGTGAATGGAGCAACAATGACATATAACATGTAACATGGATAAGAAAGCAGCTGACAAGTTTTTGTTAACAGTATTTTCATAGGAACAGGAACTTAAGAGTATATATTTTTTCATACTGAATGCTGTATTTCTTCTGAAACTAAAATTTTTGTCTTATATTAAAGAGGGGGGGAAACTGGTAAAAACAAAGATACTAGTTCCTTGCTTTCACCAAAAAGTGTGATTTGGATTTTTTACTCAACATTTGCTCAGTGTGTTCACATATTTATCTATCATCTATAACAATAAACATGAAGAGAGCTGTGCCATCTAATAAAAAATAATGTTGTTTTATCATGTATGATAAAATACATGCATGCTTTGTACTTTCATATTTTCTTTTTGAATGACAGAGAGTAGAGTTGTTTACACCATGTATATCATAACTACCAGTAGACACCCTAAATTGCTACTGGTACTGATTAAAGAGCTAAACAAGCAGAACTGGCAGAGTCACACACGTTTTGACCAAAAGCTTTAATGGGCATTTCAAATGATGAATTTAAGATACATGTATCCTTTTGTACAGTGCACATAGACTTTGAATGAATTTTATTCATACTAGTAGGTGCTGCACATGGAGAATATGATACCCCTGAGGTAAGAATTATGTTTTTATACCCAATACACATCTATTCTGGTAAAACATAATCTCATGTTATAAAGTTCACCATTTTAAGGCATTTCATGAATTGATAACTGCTTGTAATCATATTACTAAATAAAAACGCTGAAGAGTGACACAACAAACCTCTACATCCTTTAGTGAGAGGACTGATATGGTATATTCTTGAAAGATCTCTTTCTTCTTAAGCATCACTTCATAATCTCCATATAAACGCATGGTATCCACACCATCTGTGTTGGGCCAATATGGAAAACACTTAGGCTAAAAACAAAATGTGGTACTTTTCAAAATAAGTATTTTCAAGCTATACTTTGTTTTTTTTAAATTTAACTGTGATTAAAGGTAATCTTTAGTGTAAGTTTTATTCTAAAATATAATTGATATAATTGTCTCTTTTATTTCATGTTTTTACTATATACTTATAAAATCATATATGTATTATTGTACCACTTCTTGTTCCTCAAAGTCAGTGAGCATGATAATGAGTTTGGACTGTTGTTCCCAGACCATGCGCCAGAAGTCAGCAACAGTTTGTTCCAGTGGAGCTTGGGTGGCAATGTAGCAGTTTCTTTCTCCCATGTAACCCTGAACAAAGCACAAAGGATTTTACATGTCTATTCTCAACCTTTGTTATTTGTGTCTGAGAGGGAAATATATATATTTTCACCAAAACATTTCGCCAAACCTCTAAAAAGCAATCCAGGCACGAAATTCAGTTTTTCTTTTATGATATTGTTAGCATGCACAGTTACATACCCTCATATAGTTAGCATTTATGTAATCTGATGTTGGTACACCAGGAATAGGAGCTAGTGGAACTCGAGTATCACGATCTGATTAAAAATGAAAAAAAAAAAAAAAAAACAATTTTATTACTGGATACTATATATAATAAAGTAGCAGTACCTTTAGCTTTATCAAATATGATTGGTAATTACGTAATTGAGAATGCAAAAAGAAAACTTAAGTCAGAAACTGATTTTAATTTTAAGACCAAAATATTGTTACTGTTTAAAACATGCTATTTCTTACATTTTCTAAAACAGGCCAATCTGGTGGAGCACTACTGATTTGTTAAATTAGGTAATTTAAACGTTCTGTCTTTAAATTGAAAGCAAAGGTCTTAAGTAAAACTGGTCTTACCTGTAGACCTACTATACACAGTATTGGATATAAAGAGTGCCAAATCATTTTTATAACAGTTACATTATACATGTAACTACATTAACTTTAATATTCTCTATGCACGAAAGACTATAAAAGACTTCTATATACTTATAATGTTAGATTTGCAATCACAACCAGACAATCCTTTCCTTCTTTTCTAGCTGGGAATAACCCTTATTTCTGAAAATACTAGTCCAAAATGAAGTAGTATCTAATATTATATTGTTCTACTTACTGGGAATGACATTGGCATAGCGGTTCTTATCCTCTGCCCCCACTGGCACCTCTGACAACTTAGCCATGATGTTGGGTAGTAACTGAAACAATACATTGCCAAATTGAGAAAATTATTTAAAAGGGTTGTAAAAGAATGTGACATCACAAATTCAACTTTTCATTATTCCTAAGAGATTAAAGAACAATACCTCCAACATGGCCTCCAACCATACTTTTTTTTCATAATTTGAAATTTGAGAATTTATTTTCAATGAAATGGATTTAAAATTACTGAATTCATCTTACATTTGTGATATCTCAATCAAACTGGTGATATTGATTTGGTTTCTTTTAAAATTCAAATTAATGTTGACAGTAATGGACAACCCAGTTTGCTTTATCACTCTTTGTTGGATTTCACTGACATCAAGATTGTGAAAAATAAATCTGGACCGTAAAGTATTCAATAATAGAAAATCTTGATAACAAGGATAACGCATGCTTTTTCTCCAATAATCATATTACCACTACCACTATTGTATTACAAGTACTAAAACTGAGAGCTAAATGCCTCATGACTATCAATAATGAATGGCATGCCACGAACGGTACCTACCCACACATTTCACAGGCCATATTCCAATATCTTAATTATCTTATAGAAACATAATATTCATTTGATTAAAAAAAACTTGAAAATGTTCCAATCTGTTTTAACATGTACTAGTATACCTAACAAAACAGTTTTGGAAAATATATTTTGAATAAGTTTTGTTCCAGCTTGATGTGTGTTTACTGTACGAAGTACACATAGGTGTAATGGATCAGCAAATATTAAAAGCAACTTGATGCTTGCAATTTGTCTACCTCAAATTCTGCTTCCAGACAGTCTGGCTCATTGACAAGAGAGGCAAGATTTGCAAAGTTGACTGGATGTGAAGGGCACTCCTAGAAAATATAAACTAACATATTTAAAAACACCAGCTATCAATAATCATTATTACAAATAGTGCAAACAGTTGATAAATAACCATTTTTCTTTAAAAAATCTTAATATGAAATAGGAAGTACAGCATAGTATAATAGAGATAGGATACAACAGACTATTTACTATTTATTTGTACTCAGTATTCATATCCTGTTTGGTAGCTGCATGAACACAATACCTTTTCTGTTAACAATGCCTGGTTAATATATCCCATAGCTGAATTTCCAGATCGCCCAGACTGGCGAGCTGAAGAACCAGAGTATTCTGCTGACCGTCCATTGCCTCGAGATGACAACCTCTTTGAACGACGGAATTTCGACATTTGCGTCATAGAAATGGAATCAAAGCTGTGGGAATCATAAGAATATCGCTGAGCTTTGCTGTAGTAAGAGCGCATAGTTTTACCTCTTCGGCGCCTTAAAACTACCTGAAATTTATAAATTCATGGTGAGAAAAATTCTTTACTTTGATAAAAATTTTGAATCTTTGCTTGTTTTGAAATTTCTATAATCATTTTTTGAAACTTTAAAGCAATTATTTTGGAAAAATAATTAAATAGTATCTTTCAATCAATACACGTAAAGTTACCTTCTCAATCCTTTGCTAGCATAACAAAATCAAAAACAAAAATTCAAAAAACCATTCAAAGTTATTTAAAAAAACTAATCCATAATTTTTTAACAGCATGAATAAAATCTTAGGGCGCATTCCCATAGATTTTAGATCGATCTATCCCCGTGGGGAGTCTCACTAGATTACTGTCAGATAATCCGGCTTAAATGTCCGTCCCACCTACTACAAGCTGTAAGGGGGTGATTAACTTTCGTGCCCGCTCGGCTGACAGCTATTTAGCGTGAACCCCTAGGGAGTTAGGTCGATCTAGTTGGATCGATCTAATCTCTGGAAATGGGGTCTTACACTTACAAAGATAATAAAATGTAAAGAAATTTTTATCAATGCACTGATAATCCCATTTCACAATCACATTGTAATTTTAATTATTAAATATCTTAAATAAAATAGTTCTAAGTACAGTATACTCAGACCAATAAAGCATTGTAAAAACCTACACATACATATTAAAAACACAAAGAAGTGATAATTTTTTTTTTAATTTCTAAGAGCAGCTAAATTGCTGGCTTGTAGTCCCAAAAATTAGCTTTCAGCACTCCCACTTGAAACTGTTCCTATATATTACAGCATGACAGCTTAACACTGAATATAAAAGCATTAAATGAAAAGTAGTGTCCAGCTGGGAAACCAATGAGGCCCTTTTGTAATCTCAGGTTCAACTGAATTATGTGTACAGCAGTGATATGCAAGTTAATTGCTTTCTAAATCAAGCTTTCATTATTATTATTATTATTATTATTATTATTATTATTATTATTACAACCCCAATGTGTTATACATATTACTTTCAAACCCACAGAAGAAACCTACATGCAGAAATAAATTAAACCCAACCTGAAAAGACAGGTTTTAACAAACATTTTCCTGTTGTACTATTACCTGGAGGATGATAAGCAAAACAAAACACACTCCAGCCACAGATGCTATCACTATAGCAACAATAACACCAGTCGCCATGTTGGGGGTCTGTTGGAAAGATGATGCCACAGAACTGGACTTTTCACCTTTGAGCGTATAAGAAAGAAACTGGGGAGAAAAAATAACAGGTTGTGGCATGACTATGCATATCTTTATAACATAATTAATGGAAAAACATGAATTGTGTTTGCTTGTTTCTTACTTATAGCATTTCAAAATTACCAACTTAATGCATTTACACATACATCATTTATTTTTAGTGCTATTGGTATTAATTTTCATTTCAGACATTATTCTGTTTTAAATTATATGATAAACAATTAAGTAGTGAATTCACTTTGAGAATTAGGAATTTGAAAATAAAACTATTTTCTGTCCACTCAATAAGATTTAAAGGTATTGTATACAGAACTTTTGTACCAATTATCCAATTTTTCTCAAGAAAAAATTTATTCTATTCATTCTACTTTTTAATAAGATTAGGGTCTAAGTAATATTAGAATAATATATAGTCTAAAAACAATTTCAAGATGTAGACTACTATTTGCATTGGGTGGAAATATGAATAACAATTACTAGTGCTCAGTGGTGCAATGATAAAACTGAAACTGTTATAATGTACATGTAAACCTCGTGCAACTTCCAGTGATCCACATAATTTACATTAGATAAATAGTAGTATTACAAATGCCAAAGATAAATACCATGTAAAAAATCTATTACTCTTCAAAGGTCCAAATATCATGAAAGATCAAGGACTCCATTTTAAAGAACTGGTTTGCAGAAATACATGATTGACAATCAAGATTTAAAAATGGTACAGCAAACCATGATCCCTAATTATAAATAATATAACAGAATTAACCTGTTAATTCAATCAAACTCAAACAATAATGGTAACATACCCTGTCTTTGAATGATGTTGATCCACCTGTTACTTGGAACCCACTCTCAAGAAGACCATAACATTTTTCCGTCAGGTAAAAGCTGAATTCACCTCTCTCATTCGTTAAGTAAAACTCGACATCTATCACTGCAGACCTCTTAAAAATTATATTCATTTGTTTACATATGTACATATTCAGGATGACCACTTGCATTCCTTTTATAGACCTATCAATTGTAAGTTCAATGGCTTTTGACATCAAAGACTGAAATTCTTCTCTCTGGAAGCAAAATTCCGTCCAAGTCATTTTCAGCACTAGTGATATATAAATAGGTGGGAGGGCATCTTTGGCAATTGGAGTAGTCACTTGCAGTAGTTTTGATGTTGAAGTGATTAGAGTGGAAGGTTTGGGCTTTATTGTTACCTTCCTCAGTGCTGATTTTGTTACATATTTAGGTTTCCCTGTTGAAGGCACGAAAGGTGTTGTCCGTAGTGGTAAATTTACCCCCAGTGTAGTTATCAACCTATGTGTTGTGGTTGTTGTTGCAGTTGTTGTTGTTAAAGTTGTTGGCTGCCTAGCAACAGTTGCTATGGTAATCAGAGTACTTTCAGTTCTAGTTTTTGCATCAGGTTCAGGTGTAACATTTCTTCCTTTTTCAGGTTCTTTGCCAGAATCTACTTTGCCATCAACTGGAGTGGTCTCAAATGGTGTTGGAGTGGGTGTAGTGACCTGGTCACTTTTAACCACTTTGGTGGGCAGTGTTTTCTCTGTTTCCTTATTAATTGTATTATCTGTGGTAATAGCCTCCTGAGGACTAACATTGGCAACAGAGGATGATGAAGCTGAATCAAGGTCTGATACAAATGTTGATGCTGATGTTGACAAATCATCCCCAGCTGCTGTTGATACCATGGTGACTGTAGCCAACTGAGAAGACACTGATGCAAAGGAGGAGAAGGATGCCTGAAGGTGGTGGGCGCTGTGGGTTTGGGATGCTGAGTTCTGTTGTTTCTGTGGCTCACCAGACAGATAATTAGCCATTGGAGTAGTTGTATTATCCATTGGAATAGAAACCTGAATGTTGGTTGTCATGGTTCTATTTTGCCTTATTGTTAATGATGCACCAACCATTGCCTCAGTAAAACTAGATGCAATTACATCTGAGGAAAATGTAGAAAACGGAATGGTAGAACTGACAACTGGATATGTATATGTTCCCATACTCTCAGTTAAAGAGAACTTTTCAGGAGACATGGTAACATGATTGTAAATATGGGGAATGGTCGATACAGCAGTTGGTACTTTTTCAGCTCTGGCTATTGAGGAAATGGAGGTTGCTGAATTTGGCTTCACAATCCCTGTGAACAAATCTCCATGTACTTGCACTGTTTCAGCCCTACAACTAGTAGTGACTCCAGTTGTTTTGTACTCAGCTGGATTATATGAACCAATGTAATCTGATCCTGAAAACACTCTGGACACTGTTACAGATTGTTGATCCAAACCACTGTCTACAAGATTTGTATGCATAAATAAACTGGGACCAGATCCTGTGCTGTCACTGGCTGGCGCTATGGTGAAAGTATTCATTTCCTTGCTCTGACTTACAGCAAATTTTTCAATTTTGGTGGGTGTGTACCCGGATGCACTTGCTGATACAATAACATTTTCATTTGTGGTCATATTCACAGATGAGGTCCTGTTTTCATTGCCGGTCATGCTCATAGGTACCCCATGTTCTTGCTTCCCACCAGACAAAAAGGCCAGGCTAATGCTGGAAATGTTTTCCATAATCTCTGAAGAACTTGGAGCTATCAAGCATAAAATAACACCTAAAATGAAGCAGAAGAACTTTACAAATACTCTTTCTCTTGAATACTACATTACAAGGTGTAATCATTTGGAAAATGTGCAATTGAAAAAAGATATATGGTATTTCCAGTGAAGAAGAAAAACCAAAAACTGAGTCTTGCATAAAAATGAGAATTTCTAGAGAGAAAACAAGCATTATTTAAACCATCTGGCAAAACAACTTATAATGCAAGTAAAAATGGAAAAAGTTGTAAATAATGAAGATAAATGCACATTAAAAGTAAAGAATTGTTCCAAATTATTTAATTAATATGTTCTATCCATCAAGTTGGCACTTTTCTAACTTAAAAGTATGTTAGGTGTTGGTTTGGTGGCCTTAAGTAAAATATAAATCTGTTGATGATATTATTTCTCACTAAATCTTTCATCACCTCAGCACATATGCAAACAATATTCCATTTCTTTTATCTCACTCATTCTGATAAAGGCAGGTATTTAATGTCAATGCAGTTCACCTTTTTCAGGCTAAACTAGATCCACCTGTACAGTTATCATAGTGTCAGCATTTTCAATTTACTTCCCAACACACCAAAATACCAGAATATGTCAATTATTAACATTTCCCTTTGGAGTCTGAGATATGTTCTTTATCAAATATAAATGAAATGAAAGGGAACTTGAGCTAAAAACAGCCTATTTATTCCAACAAACAGTGTCATTAAACAAGCCTGAGGAAGAGCACTTATAATACAGCTGAATCAATACACCGGTATAATTGCCTGTAAGATAAATGTTCAGAAGCTAAAGTACCAATTCTAAAGTTCTGTTTTCTACTGAAAATGTTTCATAGGTAAATTGCATTTTTTGTCACCTGTTGTTCTCTTTTTATGCAATGTTATTTAAAATGTAACTTATGAGTGTTTATTTTTCAGTCAGCACAACTTTTTTCCATATGTTACTTTATTTTTCACTTCATATGCAAATGAATCTGCTTTTACATATCTTGAAAGACTCCCAACATTAACCCTTATGTAACTGGGTACTCTACATGCAAAACCTGTATGCATGGCTAAGTCTTGGTAATTTAGCTGAATTAATCAACACAATAACTTAGTTGCTTGGAAAGAGAGCTATAGTCTTATTTCACTAATCATTTAAAATACTAACTAATGAACAAAATCTGTCCAGATTACAGAATTATTTTTGTTACCTAATTGATTAATTATATTCTAATTGTGTGGACATTAATTAGCTTGTGCCCAAAGTCAGGACCCTGGAAAAGTGCTAGAAATTCTATTCAAGCAATATATATATCTTGTCGATAATGTTGGTGCTGCTTGGTATTAAGTAAATAACAAAACACCCATTCATCATACAATATATAACATAAACATTTCCAGTCATATATTTGTGATGCTACATCACCAATGAATCATTTAGCAATGATCTATTTGTATCACACTAACTTCTAACCAAGGTTGTTAAGATAAGTGATGTGAAAACACATATCTGTTACTGGTATCAAGTAGTTTATGGCTCCAGCAAGCAATTGTAGCAAATCATCAAAAGACTATACTACGACTGCACCCTCAAGTTGACAGCTTAATTCACTTCTGAGTTTCACAACTACATAAATAAATAGTTTTAAGTTCCTTTGGTTTTGATTAAAAAACGTAAGTTTAAACAGCACTGGCTAATACTGCGTATTCCATTTAAATTGATTCTTTAGACAACAATCTTTAAATGCACTAACCTTGGTAAAATAGCCTTGTATAATTATTGTGCGATAATTTTCACATTTTCTAACAACATTCCTACCGGTGTTACATTCATTATCTTTGTTCATTGATAAATAATTCTGATAAAGAGAACTACTGTGACTACTTAATGTTCCCAAATCTGTGTGTGTGTGTGTGTGTGTGTGTGTGTGTGTGTGTGTGTGTATAATAGACTTCTTAGACTATAGATTTTGGATTTTGAGTGTGTGTATTTCTTCTGTATCTTCTGTAGTGATAAACTACAACACTCAAAACCCAAAGTCTAAGAAGAATATTACAATTAATCTTTCTCTTGAATACTACACAATTAAGTGTAATCATTTAGAAATGTGCAATTGAAAAAGACATATGGTATTTCCAGCAAAGAAGAAAAACCAGAAACTAAGTCTTGCATAAAAATAAGAATTTCCAGAGGGAAAACAATTATTATTTAAACCATCTGGCAAAACAACTTATAATGCAAGTAAAAATGGAAAACTTGTAAACAATGAAGATAAAGAGAACTACACACACTCAAAACCCAAAGTCTTTACTTACAAACAAAGTAGAGGTCCATAATGCAGGATCACCCTTAACAAAAATCAGTTTGTGATGTCTTGTAATGCAAGTAAAAATGGAAAACTTGTAAACAATGAAAATAAAGAGAACTACACACACTCAAAACCCAAAGTCTTTACTTACAAACAAAGTAGAGGTCCATTATGCAGGATCACCCTTGACAAAAATCAGTTTGTGATGTCTTCTCCCTGAACAGCTTAGAAAATCATTTGTATTCTGAAAATAAAATATATATGTATCAGATCACTTTATAACACAGTCTGACACATTCAATTTTTTTATACAATAGTCATGTTTTCATGACAAAATTAATTAGATATACTAGTTGTTTTCCCCATAACTAAGCAACATGGCTGAGTTGCAAGATGTTTTTTTCCCAGGTCCTCATATGCTCTCTAGAATGTATCTCAGCATGAAATTCACTTTCAGTCTGTGGTGTCTGCTTGTTGTTATCTCCAAGAAAGGCAGATTACTGTGTCTAGCTTACAGGATAAGTGTTGCTTTAATCCACACTAAGACATATTATATAGATTATTTATATAAATCCAGATATACATTCATTCTCTATGAAGACACAAAATGCAATTAACTTCCTGGCTATCTGACGAGGTTTGCAAATCATGTTAATCTTCTTACATTGTCTGGAAAGTAATCTGACAATGGTCAACTCTAATAAACTTTTTTTTTAAGATTACATATTGCCAAGTATATACAGCAGCCATGAACAGTGTAATATCAAGCATCACCATCACATTTAGAAAACAAGTACATAAGTATTGTATGCAGATAACAAACCTAATTAGAAAACGTAAATACCCTAGCCCCCTCCCCCCAACATAGACACAAATACAAAGGTACATAACAAACACACACCAAATTACAAATTATGTTCTCATATTGTATAAATTTGTTTTTTATACAAACTTGACTCATGTAGGATTTCCCTTAGTGCATTTTCTACAGCCACCTGTAGCTGTAATGTTTGTGTTGGTCAAAACAGATCATATATGCATTCCTATTCCTCTAGTTTAGTGTTGGTTAAATTCTCTCCCACATGTATCAAATTCTTCTGTTTTGCTGATGTCACTGACTAAAATTAACTTTTCTTAAAACTGTAAATTTTCAATGATTGAAAAGAATGAACCTACCAGTCACAGCTCTTTTTTTAAAATATACATGATAGTTTCTGTAACAATCAAAGTTCCCAGTTGATTTGATGAAATATTCAGCCTCCCGCAACTGTCAGTGTCTCTGGTAGTCTTATGTGTGAAAGATATGATGAGCTGACTGCATCAGTCTGCTCTTTTGAAGACAAAAACTATATCCTTCTAAACAACACATATGCAAAGATTTTATAACAAAAACAGCATTACTGTGCGTGTTCTTCACTGGAAGTTTAAATATCTATTGGATGGAATTCAGGCCAACTTGAAATGCATCCACTGCCTTTATGTCTTCCAATCATGTGTGCCTATCCTCAACTGGTTTAAAAACTCAATGGTTTGTACAAACACAACAGGTTCACTTAGGGCTGTTTTGCCAGTTGTTTTTGCGCTGGCTCATTCTCCTATAGTTGAAGTCATCCTGTTCTAAATGTTCTCAAAGATGTTTTCAGTATTGGTATCATATTAACACAACACAATCCATAGATGCAAGAAATTGGTTGGATATTTTCCTGGGTTTATGAAGTTCTTAAAAACTTTCAGCACCTCCTACTCAGTCCCTTCAGTGTGTCTTTGAGTGTAAGTCTAGTATCCAACATTCTTGCCAGCTGCTTTTCAGCTGGAGTTGTATCCTGGTGCAGAGTACAGTTTTGCTTCTGGAACAACTGCCTGGCAAGACTTTGCATATGTGATAAGCTGTGACCTGTGCTTCTGGGTCAGATGCCAATCACAGCTTGGGATGGCAGTCATGCTAAAACCTCAGCCAGAATATCAATTGCTTTATTACCCAATGTTAAATGAGTAATATAAGTAATTCACTTGAGAATGTGCAATTGTCTTTTAAGTGATGAGTCGTAATCTTGTTCAGTGTAGAGAATTAAAAGTGATACATTGTCACTCATTCAAAAAATTCTTCAAAATATAAAATACTAGTATATATATATGTAGTTGTATTCATAATTAATATAACTACGTATATATTATGTCCGGATGATATTTAAATTCCTTAAAAGTAGTACCTGTCATGTGACTTCTTATATATACATACTGACATTTTTTAAGCTTATCAAACATTCTGCATTAAAAGTGTAATTCATTTTTTTTTTTTTTTTTTGCATAATCAATTTATTTATGCTAAGTCTATCAAATTTTATCATTTTTGAACAAAAGAAAAAAACAGTTAAAATTGCTGAGCACCACAAACACCTTGCAATTATTTATTTCACATACATGTGTGCAGTTTATGTACCTCATCTTTTTTATAATGTAATACAATCAATACACACACAATAACAAACACACATAGACATAAATTATCACAAGCATCTGTCATCTAGATAAATAACAAGTAAACCTTGGCTATCAACTTACAGAACAAATTCCAAAGTCATATGGAAAGCTAAAAAACAGTGGAAACAAGACGTCAATTGGATCTACTTAAACAAATAAGGTGCTCAATAATTTATCTTAATTAACATCATCTGGACTGAACAAATAATTTCCAGACTTTTTAATCTATTTACTGTCATTATTTATTTTATTTAGCCCAAAACCTCACATAGTTCCTTAAAAATTTATATATATTAAAAAACTGAAATTTCTGTTTGACAAAACACACTCACACGTGACCCATCAACATAACCTGTCTTTTAGCAAACCCAATGTTACCAATTGCCAGTTGAATCATTGAATCCATTATAGTGATTGCTACTATTATTACATGTATAGCATGATGGCAATTAGCTTGATAGTTTATAGAAATTGTTTTTCAGATGAATAGCTCTACATTGACCAATATCATGTTGTGAAGGCAAATCATTGCATTGGTCATCTTGATGCAAGCACACACTTCCATCATAAGGTTTGTCCCATGATCTGAGTTAAACAACATAGATGATTATGTCTGACAGATGATTATGATTATGTCAACATAGATGATTATGATTATGTCACTAAATTATTTAGCATGGTGCTCAATACATCTGAAATCCCTGCATCATGGAACCTAGGAATTATAATTCTACTCTTTAAATCAGGAGAGCATAAGAACTCTGAAAACTATAGAGGCCTTTGCATAACTAGTTGCTTAGGAAATTATTTAATTCAGTTTTAGCACACAGGCTCATTCAACATATTAACAATGAAAACAAATTAAGCGAAGAGCAAGCAGGCTTCAGGCCAGGTTATAGAACAACAGATCATATCTTCACTCTGAAATCACTAGTCAACAGGTATCTCAATCAAAACAAAAGACTATATGCATGTTTCATTGACATGAGAATTAAAGCCTTTGATTCAGTGTGGCACAAGGGACTTTTACTGAAACCGCTAAAACTCGGGATTCAAGCAAATTCTATTGTGTCACAAAAAGCATGTATAGTAAAACCAGATTAGGCATCTCGGTAGGTGAAGGCTACACAATCCCATTTTTATCAAGACTGGGAATTTGCTAAGGAGATAATCTACAGGCCTGCCCAACTACCAGACTTGGCACCGAATGATCCTGAATTCACTGGTAGATCAGACCACACTACCCATTTTCAAGGTGTGATATTTAATAATGCAGTCATTGAATCAGTAAAAGAGTACAATTATCTGGGTTTAATCTTTACAAATACAGGTTCAATGAAAAAAGCAATTGAAAATTTAAAGAAAAAGGCTCTAAATACAATTTTGCTCTTAAAGCAGCCCTCTGTCCTCAAACAAGATATCATCTCCCCCACTCAATTTAAAACTCTTTGACAAAATCATCAAGCACTTTCAAAATTAAATAAATTGCCTTTTGAACAACTACACCTAAAAATGTGCAAATGGGCACAAGGTGTATGGAAAAATCTATGAACAATGTCTGTAGAGCTGAATTTGGAAGATTTCCACTCTACTCTGATGTTGTAAAACAGACACAGATCGATACAGCGCCAGACTGAAAGAACTGCTTTCCAACAGACTGGTCAAAAACGTCATTTTATGAACAAGAGCAAAAAGAAAAAGAAGCCTGCATGTTGGTCTGGATCAATTAGAACATTTATACAATGTTGGGGTCTTGGTCATAAAACTGATTCACAAACGCTAGATACTTTTGAAAACCTGAGAGATACTATCAACAATAAGATTGATGAACTATTTTGGAAAGACCTGAAATATATATTAAAGTGGAGACTATAGTACACTTAGGGCATATAGTTTACTTTTAAAAGTTAACACCCCTGAAAAATATCTCTTAATGAAAGCCATGCCATCAGAAAAAAAGGCTAAACTTTCATATATATATTTTCAGAATATCATTTTCAGAATTTCATATATCATTTTCAGAATACTTTCATATATATATATTCTGAAAATGATATATGAAATTCTGAAAATGATATTCTGAAAATATATATATGAAAGTTTGAAAAAAACGATACACTCATCAATAGCAATAGTCGTTTTATTCTGTGCTACTTCCCAGTAATCATTCCATATGTATTTTGTATAGATTTATATAGTTGTTGTAAAGATGTTATAATCAGAGTAGAGAGCCTGTAAAATGTAACTTGTACACATTTTAGTGCTCCATAAAGATTATTATCTTTAACAATTGCAATAGTTTTTCTATAATAACATAAAAAAGCACATTCTACTTTATATGAAGTTTGCCTAGTACATGTGCTCTACACAATAAAAAAATGTTACACAATAATTGCACATTTAATTCAGAGATTAGTATGTTGTATGCAATTAATTAAGTAATGTGCTACAGCTTAGCTAGTCAATCATTTTAGCAATGGTGGACCCAGGGGAGGACACATGCTCATCCAGGCCCGTAGCCAGGGGGGTTCGGGGGGTTCAAAAGAACCACCCTTTTTGTCAGAAAAAAGTCCATTTTGGGCACAATTTGATCTAGGTACACAAAGGTTTCATTATATAAGGTCCACTTTACAGAAAAAGAACCCCCCTTTTGAATTTGCTGGCTACAGACCTGTCATCCCTTTCTCTCTGACCTAACCCTTCTCCCAAAGAAAAAGGGCCAAAACCAAGAATTTCTTTAATCTTTGTGCCTTGCATATGATAGTAAAATTGTCTTCTTCTATTCTTTTCCCTTGTTGCCCTTAGCATTATTTTGGATCTGGCAGGAGCAGCTAACACAATCACATGGTCTGTCTCCACCTGCAGAACATTGTTTCCATTCCCTTATAGTCAAAATGAGTAGGGCAATATCAAAATCTAAATGAGGTTCATGTTATGAATGCAAAATATAAGTATTATCTAAGCAACCTGTGTCAGTATTCTGTAGTCCACACATGCAGTGTTTTTTCACATGAAGAAGATGTGTCATTATTGCTGGCTTTAAAATGCTAACACACTAAGAAAGAAAAAACAACAAAAAGAAAGGTTTGATTTTGCTTCTTTATTTTCACACTTTATAGATGAAATTTTCAATAAATCATAATTTCAGAGATTGTTTTGATTATGCTGTCCATAACCTAAGTTTATTTTTAAAGTCTCCAACTCTTTGATATTGTCCCAAACAAGGTAGGTAAATTTTATATGGTAAAAATAATTAAAGTTTTGTAACCATTTAACACCATTTAAAGAGTTTTACCATCCTGGACCAGTAAATCAGTAATTTTAGAACTAAAACAAGTTTTAAAATTTTGGGAATTCTATCATGCCTCTAGTTCTTTCTAAATATTACCCACAGAAATCACTCAAAATTTTATTGCACAAAAAATTGAAAGAAATCTAAAAAATAAATATTCAGAATTCTTTCCTTCCCCTCCACATCACATTTCTCACCTTCAACTGTTACAATCTTTGAACTTGAGTTAATTAAGACAGAAGAAACCTATTAGCCATCTGAATATAGATATGAAAAGAAATACATCTTTATATCAAATGCATCAGTTGCAACTCAATACACAGAAGAAATATATTTTTGATTGTAAAAATGGAGTAATTCGATCATGTGATGTATTATTCTATAAATTTACTCCCTATCTGATGAATCCTTTTAAAACCATTGATTTTTGACATCACACACATGACTAAGATCAGAATGTGAAAGAATGACCTGAAATATAAAAGCACAACTTGAAACCACTGACCACACATGCCAATACCAGTGTGACAGTCACTGTGTGTGTGTGTGTGTGTGTGTGTGTGTGTGTGTGTGTGTGTGTAGGGAGAGCATGTAACAGTCCCTTCCCCTCCCCTTGCTTCTCTCAAATTATTTTTCTTGCCTGTAAACATTCAATTGTGTGACAATATTGTTTCATTACCCATGTGTCTCTCCCCTCCTCCTCAACCTCTTAACAAAACCTTGGATCTTACAAACAGACATTTTCATCTGTAGCAAATACAAGTGAAATTAAAGAAGCGTATATCCACTTACTGTCTATTCCTGTTTCTTAGTGAAATTTAAGAAAAAGATACACCACAAGTCAGCACGGTGTATGTGACTAGATATGCCATGGCAGATATTGAGAACAAAAGATCCAAATACGACACATACATCTCGCATTCATGCATGATGTGTGTAATGTATGAGATATACCCGTGTACTGTTCTTGACAACAGCCATGATATGAAATATGATAATTCTTAAGAATCAAACAAAGGCACCAAGTAAGCTCTGTTTTGACAAGAAGAGACAGTATTCCTAATAACTTTTTTATGAGACTGTTAAAACTATATTGAGCCATAATAAAAATATCTTTATCTAAAATCTACAAAGACAACTAATAAGTCTCATTCACCTATCAACTTCAGAAATAAAATTACTTTCATTGATAAATTTCAAGAAAGTAGCTTATTTCAGATTAATCCTTAACACTAGCAATACCAATTGCCATGTCATCAGTCATACAAATTTTACTGTACAATTACAGAAAAATGTACTTAATCAAACATCTGAAAGATAATCGAGCTTTAGTTAATTTTCAGTTCATAAATAACTTATTTCTCCAAAATTTACTGTAAAAATTTCAATGCAAAATATAAGCCGTTAAGATGCCATTCTTTAATTTGGGCATTGTCTGTGCTATACAATACTGCTTCTCTTGGTCTAACATATCTTATTACAGAAGCATGATACCAGTTCTGTAAAACATCTTAAAATATAAAATTTGTGACCATGCCAAAATTATCTAATTTGTTTAAAAATATTATATTCAGGGGACATTATCATAGAACTTAGAATGTAATAATCCTCTCTGTAACTCCCTCCTTCCTACATAAATATTTATCATAGAGTAAAATCATCATTCTCAAATCATCAACCATGTAACATAATAAATGTATCAATGCAATTTCTAGGATTAGATTCATTTTTCACCTCTAAGCTCTTAACTTTTGACATCATTGCCTAACCATTGTTTACCAATTGACAGCAGCTAACATATCTATTGTTATTACAAATTTGCAACAGACCTCATTAGCATGGTAAAATCCCTTCTTCATAATTTATGGCAAATTTGCAAGAAGAGTATGTGGCAGTCCTGAAATTTTGCTATGCTATGTCATGGCTCAGTTATTATCAAGTTTATCTAGAGGAAAAATTCTAAAATGAATCTAATCCTTAGAGCTGCATATCTTTGGTGAAAATAATCCTGGGCCCTGTCTAACAAAAAGTCTTACGTCTATGGACTAATAAACTAAAACTGCTAAAATCATTTTTACCATGCAATCCAGCATTGCATTGTCTGAGAGTGTTTTACAAAGTGTTAGAATGTTTAATCTTAGTGCTCTTTTGATAGCAGGCCAAATTACGAAGTTGGGCAAAAGTCAGTGACAAGCTAACACTGTGCTTGTAATTTATATATTCATTGATGGCTTAATTGTTACATTTTTCCATCATGATTGGGTGAAAATCAGACATCTAATACATAACTGATTCTAAAAGATGTATTATGTTGAATTCATCAATTTGTTATGGTTACCATTACTGTTGTGTGAGGTACGTATGTATTGCAGTCATGGGATTAGTTTTAAGATGACAAAAATTAGGTCAGCAGCATTTTAGATTTTTTTGTGAAATACATCTTAGTCAGCTAAATCTCTGGGGTCTAAAATTTTAGTTACAAACTGATTGTAGCATTTTTGTGAAACAGGGCCCTTACGAAACTCTTTAGCCATCTATAAACTATTAAGTTCTTCATAAAGCTTCAACAGAGTCTTATACTCTCTATCATAATCTTGCTCCTCCTCATCCCCATAACCTTCTTCATCTTCATCCTCCTCATCTTCATCCTCAAAGTCCCCATTTCTGCCTAGCAGCTCATCTACTAGCAGTTGATCATCCATGGAGTCCAGCTCTCGGTACTCAGGATCAGCGTACTTGTCATAGTGGGACATTGTCTCCACCAGAAGCTTATCTGACCCTGGAAGCATGCTGGCACTCTTGGGGGCAGCCTGGTAGTTCAGAGCACCTATATTGCTCCAGTACCAGCGAGGAGGCCCAGAGCTAAAGCAATAGTTATTGCGAAGGATCTTGTCACCAGTGACGTAGTACATGATGTAGAAGTTGCACATCTCATCATTCTGGGTAGGGCTGTGATAAAACAAAGAATGGTTAAGGTAAGGTATCTGATGGCATGGTGAATGCACAGTGCTTTCAAAACTGCTGAACATTTCTCAACTTTCCAAAAAATATTATTTTGATCTTTGTATGCGTGTGTGTATGTGTGATTGGATGTCTGTGTGACAAGAAGTGCATTTTTCATTTTACACAGTTTCTCTTATTGTTGTGTGTGTGTGAGAGAGATACAACCTGTGTCAGGACTATAACCATGAGTTAAAAACTGTACATTGTGTTGGTTCAATGTACCACATTCACTTAAAGCTATCAGTCCAAATGTGTCAGTATTTCTCTGTGGAACACAGAGGAAAGTATACTTTTAACTATAAAAATAAGAATATAAATGCCACATGTATTTCTATCACATGCTTACCCAACATAAACTGTTCTGTCCTCATCATTGGTCATAGTACATCTGGCAGCCTGAAATCAGGAATTTCTAATGTAATCTCTATAAACTGGTTGAAACTGATTGCTTTAGAAAGGAAAAAAGAAAAGAAAAAAGCTGCTGTAAATTTCAAACTTAACTTTCTTATATACAAGGTGACCAAATATAAAGCATTTTTGGAATAACAATGCATAAACTATAGACCATGCATAATGCTACACCCGTTTGTAGATAGCTATGTAATACTACTTCTGACATATTTATGTACTTCTTTCAAATATAAATAAAATGAAAAAAGAATGTGGATTGAAACAGATGATAAATTTTGAGATAAAATTTTCCACAAACCAAGTAATCTCCTTCTCTGACTGTCAAATCTGGGTCAGTAGTATTGTAGAACATTTGAGGCTTTTTGGGAGTCTGTCGTCCAACCTCTGTCCATTGTCCTTCTCGTACTCTATATCCAGCATTTACTTGGCCTGTGCAATAAGAACATTAAGTACATAAAATTGTGTTGCCACCCATTATCCACCTTCATTCCAGTATTTAAAGTTTTGAATATCTTCACGGTTGGAACATTGTGATCAATCTTAATCTAATATTGAAATTAAGATGAAACAACACCTACACACAACTTTGACTTTTTTCGATCATTTATCTCAAACTTCTATTTAACTGGTTACCACTTTTTAAAAAATCATTCACTCTACCCATTCATAATTGAACTCCTGACATCTTTTTAAATTTATATTCTTTTTTTTTTTTTTTTTTTGTATCTTCACAAATGGTGGCTGTAAAAAATAATTAATTGTTATAAAGCTAAAAATCACTATACTCAGTCAGACAAGAACAAGCGCAGATGGGTAAAAATGATGAAATGACTAAGCTTCAGAGAACTTTTAAAATTTCATTACACACCCAAACCCAATAAAGAGGTGCATTTCACATGCTGAAGTGTCAAAAAATAAAAATGAATGAATTCAAAATTGTATTCAATATTTCAAAACATATATGTGTATAGAACAAAAATCCATGACTGTCTCAACTGAAAATCAATTTTTACTTTTTACCATATCTTTAACATTACGCAAAGAGCCCTATGTGGTAATGTATGTTCCAAAAAACGTACGGTAACGTATGTTTTTGCCATTTAATTTTCATTTTTATGGCGCGTTCCGATACGTTTTTTAGTGGTTCAGTCATGGTAAATTAGACATGACGTAAGGACGTTTTTATAAATATTTAAACTTTATCTCAAGGGGCTTTGCCTCATGGCTTATGCTAGGTAACGTATGTTCCCTAGAAAAATTGTCAAAATGTTTCATTTCGTTCAAGTACTTGTATGCAAGAGATACAATGTTTTCTTTTGCTGACCGAACAATATATTGTGGTTCCATGATAGTTTGACATTTCTGATATAATCTTTGGATCATGTAGGGAAACATGTTTATTTAATGCTTATTTTACTGTCGGTAGGGTGTATTTTCCCCATTTTTTAATATTCTGTGACAAGAAAACTTAAGACGCTCAAAAACAATTAACTGGTCTATACAGAAGATTATTATAATTTTTAGCAACGTTATACTTGTAGGAGATAAATCAATGAACAAAACCAGTGATGACTGAATTTTCAAAGTGAGTAGAACGTTTCACAGTTGGACGTTTTGTATTTGTGACAGTAACGTATGTTTCTTTTTGGGGTTAAACGATGAATTATTTTAAATTATTCATGGTTCCAGGAGAGTGAAACTTTTATACAAGCTTCTTCATGTGGGACCCTAAAATAATCAAACACAGTTAGCAATCTGTGCAGTAAATATTTTTAATAACATGCTTGTGACATCAATTGCACCTCTATATTGGGTTTGGGTGTACAGTGTTTGGCCACAACTCACCATGAGTGTGAGCATGGGTTCTGAAGGCAAATGGATGCATGACAAAGTCCTCTGTGATCTTACAAGCTGCCTCCATGTATACTGAAAAGGAAATAATTCTTTGCCTCAAAAACAATATCATTATATTACATGTAGCCAGTCTTTAGCATCACAAATGAAAATCAATTGAGTTCAACAAGAAAATTGCCAAAGCGCAAACATAAACATAATGCATTCTTCTTCTTCTTCTTCAAAAAAAAAAAAAAAAACATCACATCTCTGATTTTTTAAGTATTAAAATACTACATACCAAAGCAAAATAATGCAGGTTCAGTTGTGATAAGTTGATAACAAATGACTCACATTCTTTATCATTGATTTTTCTGTTTTCCAATTTCATAAAGCTACATAAAATAATTGGTAATAGTTGTAAAAGAGTTTAAGTATGCTTATAGAGGGAACCAGTGGCAATGGCACTGTGAAACTCAGAGTGACAGCAGACGTCATTAGTGTTGCAATATCTTATCTTATCATACCAGTCTCATGAGGATCTAAGCGTCCATCTGTTCCCAGCAAATAAACACCAGCTCGCTTGGGTTGCCTGTAAGGAGAAATTAAACAAAGTTTTAGTATTCAATACATTTTGTGATCAACACACTTATACCATCCCTGCCTTGACGTAATGGGCCCTAACCACAGGAAATGTTGCTTCAAATTTAAAAATAACATTCTTTTTTTCTTTCATGCTTAATTTATAATATATCTGACAAAATTTCAATGGTACAGTTACTTCTTTATAACCAATCTTCTGTACTCTTTCTCATGTTTCTATAGTATTTTTTAAACCTGGCTGGCAATAGGTAAGAAATGCAAAAATAGCAATTCTTATGGAAGCATTGTGTCTACATTGATTTTTTTTGTTCTATGTACAGCAGGCAAACCAGGCTTAGCTGAAAATAGTTTAACAAAATGTGAAAACAAAAACATAGTTGTTATCATTCTTGTTCCCCCAAGTGAGTAAAAAAGCCCATTTTGTGTATTTTTTCTCTTTAAATAGTTCGTTTATCAGTTCTCTTTTCTCCCTCCAGGTTAAGTTTCCTGTATTATGTTCCTTGATCCCTGTAAAAGCAGTTTGATTATCAGCATAAATGGCACTCAAAAAATTCCCTTGGTTTTCTTTTGTTGGCTTGACATGATGGTAAGGTAAATTACTCAGTAAATTATGGAAAAATGAATTTCAAGACCTAATGCAGCTTCAGAGCATAATGAAAATAGGTTTTCACTAGAAATTGCATGCATTTTTGTATTCCTTAATTGTACTTTTGATAGTCATTATCCTGCAAACAACAAATTAATGCATGTTTTGAACTATAATTCTATTACAAAATCCTCAAAACATTTCTCTAAGCTAACAAGAAGTCATATTTCAGTTCCTAAATTATTTGCATACCACAGATTTATGTCAAAAGCTAATAATAAATAAAGACGTGGGCATTATCCCAGTAAAGAGGCTTTTGTTTTATTACAAATGTTCATTAAACACACCCTATTATCCCTCTAAATGTTCTATGTGGGCACTGTCTGCTGAGAAATTAATAATAATCTTAGATTATCCAAGGTTAATAGCTAGCATTTCACACAGAAACTCATTAGACATGAAGGTCCTCACATCATATTTTAGATTTCTCACTTCAGACAGGAAATAAGGACTTAAGGGACCGAATAGTGTTGTTCGATCAATGTATTTGTGTGATTAAGGCCAAAAAGAGAGTCAAATGTGATTTTGGATAATAAGCATCATTTTTGCAAGTCAAAAATTATATATAGCCAATGTCTAACTTACATGGTACTTGTAACACCCCTGGCTGCAAAGTCTTATTTCACCAATATAACTTTGATGCTGGTGGTTTTAAAACCTTGCAGTATTTACCAGTAATAAGTTGGCACAAAATTTGACAATTGTTTGGAATGAGCTCTTTGCTTATAGAAGCTATGAAAATTGAGCACACAATTATATACAAAGATGCACTGAGAGGAGTTTTCAATTGCCTTGTAGTATATATGATAAAAAATTATCAGCAGATCAGCTTTTAAAAAAAAATTACAAAACTGTCAGAAAAATTACCTTTGTTATCATCATGACGCAATACAAATCTAATGAGACTTGAATATATAAGCCTCTGAATAATCCCTGGTTTCCTCTTAATAATGTACTTTGGATTTTTTTGTTCTTCATGAATTTGGTAAGAAAAACATTGTCAAAACTTGTAGTGTAATTGTAAATCATCAAAAACATGTGACCCAGATATCTTTGTTCAATAAAATCAAAATCACGTAATGATTTAAAATAATGTTTTTCCCACAAAAAAAAGAACAAACTATTGAGGTTACATTGATTACATTGATGAAAAAATTCCTAAAGGCATAATTAACAAACCAAATGATAACACAGTGAAATTTTCTATCTTGAAGGAGAACAAAGCCAAATCCAAATAATGTCTAGAAAATTTTCATCCTTGACATAATCCATACCCAGTTTGATCAGATATCTTTCTGAATACTCACTCTGTCTCTGTGACCTTCATTGTGATTCCAGAATGGTCAGATCCAGACTTGGGCGGGACAAAATTACTGACATCTTTGTAGTGAACCTGTAATACCAGCCACTGGATCTCAGAGTTTCCACCGACCTTGAAGCCAACATCTACAAGAAATATCTTATCTTTTAAATTGGAGTTTTCTGGCCGAAAATTTGATGAGGATGAATTGAAGAGAAAAGGTACGATATAATATGTGGACAAAAAGGACAATAAGTTACTATAAAGAGAAGCATGCCAGAGCAGCTCATTATGAAGTTTGGCTCCCAGTTTATCAACAATTTCTTACAGTCATTTTGTTAAAGCTTCAACTGTATTTGTATGGTTTCATGGTGGTTTCATGTTTACTACCATAACTTAATTAGTCCAGTTAGCGGGCAGGACTAAGAGTGGCACACTGGTCAAAATTATCAATACCAAAATGACTAATAGGTGACATCCTTTTGTAAAATAAAGGATTTACAGATGAACATTTCGTGACATCTTGGAGATTTATTCAGTGAGTAAAAAATCAATGTTTATTAACTTTAAGAAATGGTTTTTGTGACTCTTTACAGGGTGCACTCGTAATAAAGTGTAGAGCATGAATCTGGTGCCCTGAAGCAAGTCTGTGTGAAGGGAAAGACTGAAAGCACTAAGCCTGTTGGGCATAAATGTAACACCATGAAATTAAAATAATCATTGGGATTTTCCCAACAGTAAATTTGAAATACAACTGACAACTCAGAATTGTTTTAATAACAACTTTAATGTATCTAATAAAAGTAGAAAGTGAAAATAGTCTACCTTAAGTATTTAACATATAAGCAAAAAAACATTAATTTAAAAATCAATGGTATTATTAGGAAAACACTTTATTTACAAGCTACACAAATCAATCAAATGTAAAAATTTGTTGTCTATTCCATATGTATTAAGATATCTTGTGTACATTAGTGTAACAGTTTTAGGTCAGTAATATCTCATAGTTACCCTTGGGGAGCGTCAGTTGAGGAGCATCCATTGCCCATGCATAAATGATGGCGGATCCTTTTTGGCACACTGGAGCCATGGTATAAGAACTTTTCTCCTTCATTGACATCTCTCCACAATTCCTGAAACAGTAACAAGATCTTATTCATACAGCTATCTTAAGCATCTCTCAAATTACCATTTGAAAGATAATCATTATTCTTAACAAAGAAAATCAGAGAAAATCACTATATGTTTTGTTCTTTTGGTGAGAGGATATCACATTATCTGCAAATCAGAAATATGGATAGCTTTACCTTGGATATACTAAAATTTCGAGAATCACCTTTTTACTCATGATAAAGGCAGGTATTTGCTTAATGGGGAAAATATCTTGTATAATTGGACTGCCTCATATGTGCTAACATTATTAGCATATTATATTTTTAACTTACAAAGAGCTACAAAATTATATTCCAACAGGGAAGAATGCACTTCACATCTTTGAAATAAAATAAAATAAATAAATAAACACATAAAAAAAATCACTCCTGGTTCACACAACGAAAATTATAGATGCCCATATGCAATTAACAGGTTTTTGAAGAAATTTGACATTTTCCATCATTCTGGTAAGATAATTGAGTACATCAAAGTAAAAACAATTGACAACACTTTTTACCTTAGACCACAGAGCCATAAATCTTATAACCTTATCACAACTGTCTGCAGGTAGAGACGTAAGATCCTGTGACAGCACTTACCAAACCTTGTCTGTCTGCCCAGGCTCTTCACACCCATACAGCAGCATGTGGTGGGCAGTGGACATGTTGGCATGGGGAACAAATCCAACTGAAAATAAATAAATAAATAAATAAATAAATAAATAAATAAATAAGCAGATCATCAAGGGAATGGATTAATGAGAGCATAGTGTAATATCTGAGGTTGTTATATCAATATTTCCAGCTCAAAAATATGTAAAAAAGGGCACATACACCATTTGAAACAATCATAGAGGGCAGACTGTTAGGGAAGACTGAAATCCAGGATGAAAACTGTTGTTGGGGAGTAATTGGAGGTTTCTCTGAATAAAACTTTTATAGTTACAGAATATCAATCTGTTGAAAATAACTTTCATATCTTATCAATATAGGTTATCAGGGTTATATGACACAAAATATATCCAACTTAATTTCCTCATAAGGACTCCACATAGAGCCACTTAAACACATACAGAGAACAAATGTACATGATAAGTGTATTAATGGGCATTTTTATGTACCATTCTTCTATAAGCCATGCAATGTTTTGCAGTCAGTAAATTTTAAAAACTGTCAAACTGTCATAGTGATCACAACAGCAAAAAGTTCACACACTCTGTAGTCTGTTATCTAGGAGGTTTCTGTTATGAAGATTCTGATTAAATTTATTACTCCAGCATGTGGTTTATTGATTTTTACTAATAACTTCTCTGTAAATTTAATAACACAGGCCAAGAGAAGTACAAAGCATACAATGTCTTCCATACTGTGTGTAATCAACTACCAAAGCCAGAAGCCATCCATAAATCATGACACTTAAAAGGTTTTTATTCCTAAAAAAAATGTGAAAGAATTTAAATGAAAAGTCACCCACATCTCTTGTTCCAATCCAATAAATTTTCCCAGAATGTTCATTGTTTATATGTTTTTCTGATTTGATGCCATTGTACACTTGGTACTGTAAGGTGAACTTGAAGTGCTAATAGCATGTTTTGAAGCACGTTTATGTTATTTGCAAGCGCTCAATGCCCAGGCACTGAATATAAGTTGACTATTACAGGTTTCACATCATGAAACTAATACGAGGTAGCAGACATGTAGTCCTAAAATTCTGCCAATTATTCTTTATTATCAGAGCAGGAACATATTCCTTATGTCATTTGCCACAATCCGGCTTTTAATGTAAATTATCAAATGACTCCAGTGTATCTATTATACACAGAAAATGAGACCTTCGACCGAAAAAATAACATTTTGACTTCTAGCCAATTCTGTAAGTCCCATTTGATTTTCATAAAGTCCCTAATGTTAAATGGAAACCCCAAAAGTCCAAAGCCAGTTCTGTTGATATTGCACAATTAACAGTCCTAATAAAGTGGGTTATTTACATGTATCATCAGCACAAATAACCAAGTCAAAAACAATATAAAGCTTGTGATGCCAGATGGCAACGATAAGTAAAATTAATGAATATTTATACTGTAATATTGTCCAATGTGTGGACACACCTAGCTAAGATCTTTTTTTTTTCAAAAAATATGTCAATCACTGTGTTCTGTCAGGCTCAAATTGATGAGAGATATGAACATTTTCGAATAACCAAACAAACAACATGTAACAGTAAATTTGTAACATACCTACATATTTGGCAATTTCTTCCATCTTCATTGGCACACATAAATAGGTATCAGGCTGCAAAATAGATTTTGTATACTGCTGTATAGTTACACATCCATCATTTTCATCATATCGAAAATCAATCATTTTTAAACAATTGTAAAAGATCAAAAATTTCAAACCAATTTTTTCTTAATACTTTAATGATTTAAAAAAAAACATTCCCTTTGTTTGAATATCATTGCAACAATACCTATTCAGATTCATTCTTTAATATTTTCCATCACTTATTTGTTATGTGAGTGGTATTTTTGATGAAAAATTATTTAATTCTGAAATGAAGATACAAACTTAGAAACAAATTTATTTTACTCCTCAAGTGAATAGTTTCTTTCATAAAAAAAGCTTTCAAAAACAAGAATCTGCTCTGTTACATCATGTTTATGAAGTAGACAGTGAAAACCCATTAGGCTAACATATTACAGAAAGTCAAGTAATGTAACCATTGTGTTTGTTTTAAATGTGAAAACTTCCAGAGTATTCAATGGACATGTTTTATTCAAGTCTTGAAAACAGTCCAATTAAAGTCATAGTTGGTGACGCAATTTGGGTCAATGACCTTAAAAACATAGTTAACAAAGTTAATTTAAAAGATTGCAGAAAATTATCTACGATATAAGGTTTGTCTGCATTACTTATTACATCTGCCAAAGGAGGAGATTGGGGTGTTTCAATGGTATAATATATATTATTTGTTTACTTGTTAATGATAGACTTCAAAAATTTCTTCAAAAATATCAAGGAAATTTTAAGATTCTTCTGGTGAGGAAGGAAGTTGTTACAGTTCAAACCTAATATTTCTCAGGATTTTTTTTTTACTAAAATTACCATTTATATTTTACCTTGGGCTCTGCTCTGGGGTTCTAATTTATCTGTTAATTTATTCACTTATTCATCTCTTTTTAGGACCTTTCTGTAACCTTAATACAATACAATCACGGATAATATTTTCACAATCAAACCAGAATACAAAACTGAACTACAAATAACTAGGAGCCTACTGTATTCTATTCAATGTGACCTTTTCTTTTCACAGTTGCTGCACATAATGAAGGATTCATTATATTCAGATCCTTTTATCATTCTTAAGAAATGAATTGCATCCATAATAAAAGACAGTCAAATGTGTGGCAAACATATCTGACACAAATATTTTCAGATGCGTGACAAACTGAAAAAAAAAAAAATTCATGCTTTTTCAGTTAATGCACCCTATGGTCTTTGAATCAAATACATATCAATATATATATTTATGTAAAAGTTTGTAAATGTAATACAGAGATCACTACCAGTTTTGTTTGATATCTGCACATTATATGCAACTATCTTTATTGCTCATATACTTAGTGGATATCCTACACAAAATTAGCTGACTGCAGTTTACATACCTTTTGAGGCTGAACATTAGGCATTCTGAATTCCACATCTTTTATGTCTCCATCCTTGGTTGGACGACTCTGACCCAGTGCCACTAAGCCCCAAAATAGCACCACAGATAGCATCCTCTATTATATCAAGCACTGTAAGAGAAATGAGAATATTAAATATGAATTTTCTTTGGAAATTCTTCTATAAGTCAATGTTTTACTACATCATCTCCCCCTAACAACTGTTATTAAGAATATAAGCATAGAATTTAAAAAAATAAGCTGATGCCATTTTCCACCTACTGTCAGTGTTCAACTGCAAGTAGAGAGAAATATATTATGCTTCAATGATAAGAACATACTTCCACTTAATGCACCCTCTCATCTCTTAGGATTAATGTCACAATTTTGTTGGATATACCATGGTGACAATCATATGTACATTTTTATGTGCTTGGTGAAAAAAAGATTAACACAGTTGTGACAAAAATGTAATACTGACTGAGTACATATATTCTCTGAGAAACATAGCTCAGTTAATTTCACTGGTCAGCATGCATCTATATTCATTGGTCAACTATTGAATTATGTTGATGACATAGAATCCAAAACATCTTCAAGTCAACATCAAAATGTTTACTTTCAATAAACATGTTAAAAACATGCCATATGCATGAAAAAGAACTTACCTATCTCTTTTGGCAGACACGCTTATCCACCTTAGCCCAGAATTTTTGCTGTATCTTTAAAACTGTGGTGATTTAAATAATAATAATTGTACTCTTTCTTATGATTTCGAGCGTACTTATATCTGGTTACTTCACATATGGCACCTTTTCTATCAGTCACACACAGTGAGTCTGGTTCTCAGTATAGATCACCTAAGATTTATCAACCGCTGCCTCGATTGGTTATCATGCACATCAATGCTTCCCTAAAGACTAAATTGACGTCACTAACACACTGGGCTCTACAAGGGCTGGGATAGGGGGGGCGACTTCCTAGACATTTCTCCACAAAAATATTGAAAGGAAACAGGCCAAAAGCTTTATAATACAGGTGTACGAGGTATGCTATTAAGTTCTTCAGTTCTTAGAATAGATGTATACAAGAAGTCTGCAATTTTGTTATAAATCATTCACCATTGTTATGTGAGACAAGTGTAAGTGTAAAGGGGCACATCAATTTACAGTGCAATTGTTACAGCTTAACTATTCATTAGTAAGCAGAAAGCTTTAGTTATGATTTCTAACAATCCCCACCACTAGGTATGGAATGCCACTCTACTGTTATTATGGTGATGGGTTACACAAAGAGTGATCAGCCTTGCACCTTAAAACAGACAATGGTAACCAAATACTCGAGATGAGATACCTAATTATGTAGTATGGTTCAGATTATAAGTGTGTTAGTTCTGTAAATGGCCTTTAAAAGTAATTTTATATTTGTGTGTGAACTACAGGAATGACAGTCAGGTAAAGGGTGTGCAACTAACTCATATTTGTACAGGTCTTAAAATGTTGAGTTTCAAACTTTTACACAAATAAGTAAAAGCTGCTATGAACACCAACTTCATATCTTTTTAATGCATTACAGCTATTAAAAAAGCTGTTATATACAACTATAATCTATTTTCACAGCATCAATTGATTCTGAAAATCCAACAACTCTGATTTTCCTAACATACGTTGATAAAAAAATGTTTATCTCCCACATCAAATTTACCATAGAAGGGCTCCATAAAATTCATTTCAGTAATCTCCACAATGCCTCTGGTCCAGCGTGGGAGGATGGATCAATACTCCACCTTTATAATATTTCCTCCATCCCACATATAAGGTCCAAAATCTTATAATTCACTCTTCTTTTCAATATCTGTTTAATGTCAGTATTACAGGGAATGGGCTTGTTTCAAAATTTAATAGCCGTTTTCAGCCAATCACCCTCCATGTGAATTATCAGTGTCTGTAGCTTTATTGACAAACCAAACACAGATTAGAAACTAAGAGTCTCTATCTTACTGATACGTCAATTGACACAGAAAGTGAATTTCATCAATTTATCCACATTGTGCCGAGATGTATTATTTCTGTGATTAGCTTCTCATTACAGATATTAGCTTTTAGTACAGTGATGCAATATGTTATGTGATTATTAATATAAAATAATATAAAGTTACCATAGATATATACTGTAGTCTGCTGTGGTTTATTAGCAACACAAGCCCCTCCACAAGATGGCATATTTTTGCTAACGACATCCATCATGCCACTGACAGTGAATTCTGTTCAAAAATCAATAAAAATCAAAGGCCTTAATGGAAATAGATTGTCAATAAATGCTGTCCTAACTGTCATATGCATGCACAAATTATATCATGAGTGAAGTATAAACAAATACACTTATTAACAAACAAGTACATAAGTGTTATTTAAATTCTTATCTTAAATGAATTTACACTATTAATTTACCACGACCTACTCAGAAATCTGAAGTCATGTACTCTAAAAATTTTTGAGTACAATTCTCATCTACCAATAAAATAACAGAATGTTAATGAAAATTATTTACAGGTTACACTTTTTTCTTTTTAATTCCAATTTCTACTAAGTGTAGAACATACAAGAAACAAACCACACTTAATGGAATGTTTGCTGTTTTCCACTGAAACAGATACAAATATAACATACTGAATTTATCAAGCACATTACCATTCTTATTAACACAGATGCTAAAAACTGTAATAACTTGTACATTTTGTAATTTAAAAAATGAATCTGCTTAACATACCTAAAAATCATGAGGTACTATTTGGTCAACATATTTTGTCTTTGAATAATAAAAAAAACAATAAGTAATGCATTTAGTGAGAAGTGATTCAAGGCACGTATTGTTTGTCCAAGGTATGAGAGCTTAACCACATGTCTCAGCTGTCACAAATATTGCCAGTTCCTTATCAGAAACAGATGTAATCTTACAAAATACACACTTTTGTTGATCTGTTCAACTTGACCCTTTTTTCTCTATGAAAAACCATCTTAAAATATTCTGTTATGCTTAACAATTAATGTTTTATTCAGTAAAAGCAAGCCCATAGGGAAGGAGAGTGGCTGTTCAACAGAGGGTTACAAAGAACCACCCTTTTGGCCAAAAGAAAAGTCCACTTTGTATAAAAATTTGATTTAATCTACAGGCCTACCCAACTACCAGACTCGGCACCTAAGGATCCTAAATTAACCGGTATATCGGACCACACTACCCGTTTTCAAGGTGTGTGTCAGATCGCATTTCGGAGTATCAGCCAGAACACCGACAGGATGAGCCCTGACATGCTCGGCTGTCACCTTGATTGGATAGTAAACGATTGTCGTAAAATCGCTATATGATTTTAAAACCGGGTGCATAATTTTGAAAGCCACCTAGATGAACCTTAGACTGCCACATTAATCTAATACAATGCAAAAGAGCCCTGTCAAAAGTGGTTAAAACATTCAAACTGAATGTCGTAAAGTCCCCATATACCCCCATAGAGACAATTAAATAGAGTACTCTAAAGTAAGAGTACAGTTTAAGGTTGTTCAGCCGAGCGTGGATGAGCCCGCAGTCGTGCTACAAAATTTGCTCTGGGGGATGATACTCCAAAATGCGATCTGACACACACCTTGAAAACGGGTAGCGTGGTCCGATATACCGGTTAATTCAGGATCCTTAGGTGCCGAGTCTGGTAGTTGGGTAGGCCTGATCTAGGTTCTTAGCCATTACTCATGTTGGGGGAGCATAAAGGGTAAAAGGTCCGCTTCTTCAGAAAAAAAACCTTCTTAGAAATTGCTGACTACAGGTCTAAAAAAAGCACTCAATCTGTCATTGGTTAATTCAAATATCTTAAAAGATATATGTTGGGGTATCTTCTATTCATAATCAAGAATAATGAACTGTGTTTCGCATGTTCTGTCCAATCAATATGTCTGTCTACTAGCAACTTAACACTATTGCAACACCTGACAGAAGACTCCATCATTCCCAGTGTCTACATGACACTCTGCACACCTGCAAAGTAGCGCTGACCACATGCTTACAGATGAAAAATTACACAAAGTTCAGATGATAGTTGAAGAAAATGAGAGACGTTTGATTATTATTTTTGTCAATTTTTCATGTACTTACTGGTTAAAATGAGAGATAATTAGGAGAAAAATATTCTAGAATGAGCAGTAGCATGTTTACATAAAAACATCCAATTACTGTTCTATTGATAGTAATATTAAACATTTGTTAACAATGACTTAGTTTTAGATTACTTTGTATTCCTTTATGTTGTGTGGTTGATGATTCCAAGAAAATTGATTTTAGATCATCCATAAATTCCTGACTGAACTCAGTTATAAATACAATAATCAATACACAGCATGTTTGTGAGTACTGAACATTACAAAACAGTGTTGTTTTGTGTAAATATCTTTGACTGAATGATGAATATTTGTCTAAGATCTAACTGTATTAGCTTAAAATCCCTTATGCAAATTCATATTCTTATTTCTAATTAAGAGTAAATTGAACAGTGTTACAATTTTAACTTGACTGTCCTTACATGCAAAACAACTAACACCTATGAGAAGTTCTAATGTTATTTAACCAACACCCAATAAAGACCTGACACAATTCAACCCACACCCATAAAAGATATATTGAAAACTCAAATGGTCATTCTCAGAAGTTAATTTCCTTGAGCTCAAGAAGTATTAATGGCAACTATTACACTACCGCCCATAACCTTCCCCCTTTATGTGCCCTTAGAGTTAAATATAGGGAGTGCTAGTTTCAAGACACACAAGGCATTTCACATTACCCTAATAGATTGTTCCAAGCTTGAAATAAAAGACATCAGACTGCAATTCCTTTTGTAATCGAGCAGATTGCTCCATAACATAACCACATGATCAGTGTCAGCAGTCCTTATTGAATTGTGTAGAATATGCATGTGCATTGGATCCTAGGTTCTTCAGAGTTAACAGTACTGTAAAAAAAAACATGTCCAGCAGTTTACAGACCTTTCTAACATTTGTGATTAGCATAGTAAACTTAAATCATATATACAAGTGAAGTTCAAATGTGACAAGAAGATACATATGGAAATTCATGGATGGAGATCATTGAAGCTGACCCAACTTGACTCTGAAACACAGGCTACTTTTCCCTTATGTCAGTGTATCATCTTGGGACCACAAATCTACTTACATAGAATTAATATGACCCAAAAATTTCATACACCTTATTTATTCCTACTCAGTAAGTTTCATCAAACATTATCATCTGAGGCCTATAACTTAATAGATTATTTCTGACATGTACTGAACTTGCTTATAGAATATTTAAATTATCTTTTTTAGGTTGTACTAATCAAAACACAATTTTGGGCAACCAATCAATTTCATTCCATCTCAGTGTTAACAGTGGTGTAATAGAATCAGCTGGTCTCTGCATCCTCCACATTCTTGTTATCCAGTTATCTAACACAAGAATGGGATAATAGTACACCAGAGGGACAAAACCTGTTCTCAGTAACAACTAGATCCTCTGCTGAAATTTGATTACCAAGCCATCTGTATTGAGAGGTTGTATACAGCTTAATTTATTCCCTGCATGACCAATTCTGTTTAGAAGATAAGAAAATAATTGTCCTCTAAACTCAACTGTTTGGGTTTACATGAACATTGGTCATCTTAACAGGGATTAAAATTAAATAGAATAAATCTGCTCATAAAACATTTGTATGTATATGAATGCATGTGCATGTAGGGTAGATCAAGAGAGTGAAAAGAATGAGTGTTGCATTAGAATGGATTAGGGCATAAACAATGAGTAGATTTAAATAAAAATTATTCACTTCAGAAAAACAAGGAAAAAATCCCATACAATGAGCACAGTATGGTCTCTGAACTACTGTGTATTAAGTGTAATTACGTATGCATTTTAATTTGTGTGAATTGAAAGTTAAGGCTCATTCCCATTGAAACTATTGGTCTACAGAGATTGACCCAACTCTGCAGGGACTCTTGCTGAATGCAATCAGTTTAACAGATTAACCTGTCTCCTCGTTTCCAACGTACTAGTATAATTAATCACCAGCTTTTCCATATTCTATACAATGCCAGGAGGCATTCTAATTTGTTGAACTGATTGCATTCAGCAACAGTCCCCATGAAGTTGGATCCACCTAAGTAGTTGGATCCACAATAGCCAATGTGGCAATTATATCAATGTGGCAATTCTACGTACTTGATATAAAAGGCACTTCTAAAATCAATCCCACATTAGGATATAACCAATGCGTCCTTGACATTTTGACACAAAAAATACATAAAATTGCTTTCAGAAAAGGTTCATGTTTTCAGCATGTTTTATTTTAAAACCCATCTCTTGTATTTTCCCAATCTCTTGTATTATTAGAATAAGAAATTCTATTTAATTTCCATTGGTAAGTAACATGGGAGTTTTCCAGTTAAAATGTACATTTTCAAGTTAACATTGGAGTGTTCCATCAGGTGTTATGTTTGACAAAAAATTAGTCTGATTGTGATGACCAAATTGAAGGCCTATTGTTACTGGCCAACTATACAAATCAATATATGTTT